CTCTATTATTTTAAAAATTAAAATAAAACAAAAAAGCTAGCCAAGTATCAGGAGATGTCTGAGTGGATCACCTAGATGCCAAACACATTTCTTCCTGCTCCCATGATGAGGCATCATGTTCTCGAACTCCTAGCTCAGGCAATCCATTCCGGTTCACCTTGCTACTATGGTGACTCCGTGCCTGGGATTCTAGTCCTGGCACGAGGGACCCTGGAGAACTTCCTCAGTGGCCTCCAAATAAACCCCTCACCTCAGTGGGGCAGCCCACAGCCAATGACTGACTGAGGCAGAGATTAAAAAAAAAAAAAAATGCTGCCTCACTTGTCCCAAAGGAAGGACTTGGCACATTGCCTGTGCTCCAGAGCCTTCCCCTGTGAAAGATCCTGAGAGGTCTAAATCTTTGTGAGCAAGCATCCTTACTTGGCTCTCCTCTCCTCTCCTCTCCCCTCCCCTCCCCTCCCATCTCCTCCCCTCCCCTCTTCCTCCCTCCCTCTTTCTTTCTTGCTTTCCTGTTTTCTTTCTTGCTTTCCTGCTTTCTTTCTTTTTTTGACCAAGTCTCCCTCTGTTGTCCAGGCAGGAGTACAGTGGTACTATCTTGGCTCACTGCAACCTCTGCCTCCTGGGCTCAAGCAATTCTTTTGCCTCAGCCTCCCAAGGAGCTAGGACTATAGGTGCACACTGCCACACCTGGCTAATTTTTTATCTTTTAGTAGAGACGGGGTTTCACCATGTTGCCCAGGCTGTTCTCAAACCCCTGAGCTCAGGCAATCCGCCCACCTTGGCCTCTCAAAGTGCTAGGATTACAGGCGTGAGCCACTGCACCCAGCCTCTCCTTTCCTTTCTTGTTTTTCAGTTTTTTCAGGAAGAGCTCTCTTAATAAATCACATTCTAAGCTCATCCAAATCCCTGTCTCAGGCTGTGCTTTTCAGGTAACCTACCTAAGACAGAGGTGCAGTAAAGCAGGAAAGAGGGACAGAGAAGAGGGCAGGAGGAGGAGGGCAGGTGAGCCTTATGTTTAAATGGGATGGTCAGGAAAGTGGGAATCCTTGAGCAGAGACTTGAAGAAAGTGAGAGAATGAGCCATCAGGCTATTTGGGTGGAAAGCATTTAAGCAAAAGAAACAGATAGGGCAAAAACTGGGACAGGAGTGGATCTGAGGAGTTCTAGTAAGAGCCAGGAGGCCCATGAATCCAGAGTAGAGTGAGGCAGGAAAATGTCACAGATGAAGTCAGAGAGTCTTCTCAAAGTCCTAGAAGGCCATTGAAAGGGCACTGGCTTTAACTCTGAATGAGGCAGCTTTGAGCAGTGGGGTGATGTGATCTGAGCTGGTTTCCTAGAGTCACCCCATTGCAGCCAAGTTGCCTGAGGTCATGCTGGTAGGGAAGTAAAGGACGCTGCAGCAATTGGAACTCAGGATTGCCTGATCTCAGAGAAGCTTTAACACACTCGACTTTGTTGATGGAGCAGGAAGTGCACATCTGGCACATATGTTTAATACACAACTCCTGAATGCTGAGGACAGACACGATGCAGGGACTAGTTTCATTTAAAGGGAAGACAGACATTCTTGTAAGGAGGACAGACTCCCCTTAAGCATTCCTTGGGGAAAGCCTTCAATACTGATACAATTGATTACGAGAACAGTCCATACTTGCCAGCAGGTCCAGAAGTTTCTGGCTACATTGCAGTCCAAGTACCTCCCTAAACCTAAATAAGTGGTGTAATTTCAAGACAGTGAGTGGGAAGAGGAAAAACACTTGATTAGAGAGGTAACAATGTAATAATTAAGAACGATGGGTGTAGAACAACAGGTTTGAAACCCAGCTCTGCCATTCACAAACTGTGTGACCTTGGGCAAGCTACTTAACTTCTCTGTGCCTCAGTTTTCTCACCTGTAAAATTGTTGCTAGATACTATGGCTTATGCCTATAATCCTAGCATTTTGGGAGGCCAGGAAGGCAGGGTAGCTTGAGACCAGGAGTTTGAGGCTGCAGTAAGCTATGATCGCATCACTGCACTCCAGCCTAGGCAACAGAGTGAGACCCTATCTCAAAACAAAAGAAAATTGTAATTATACTAGTCCCCTGTGCATAGGGTTTTTAATAGAATTAAATGAGTTTACAGTGTCTGAAACATACTATTTTGTTACTATTATGTTTTTTAGACATGAACAATTAAAGGACACATAAATGGTCATTTAAATCAAACAAATCTGCCTGTCAGTTTCTGGACATTAATTTCCAAGTTTAATGGTTTCCATGTAATCTATATAATACAACAGTAAACTATAAATGAGTGCATCTTCTTTCTTCCTACACTTCTAAAATATTATTTTACCTTTAGCTGAATAATTGCTCAGCTGCTTCTTATCAATGACTGTTTTCCAGGAAGGCTAATCATGCCTGACTGTAATCAACTCTGTGTGGGAACTCTCAAATGCTTCCCTGTGCGATTGCCACTCCCCTGACAGTGAGGAACACTGTGATTAAAAAGCATCTCAAGAATTCCATTTAGATGATGACCTCAGTCTCAAACATTATTAGACAGCTATGATTTACATTGCCTTCTAAGTTAGAATGTAGAGGCTTACAACTTCCAAATACTCCTACAAAACAGAAAACAGTTCTTTGTGATTTTTTTACATGGGATTCTGTCAACTGGTTTTACATGAAAATCAGTGAAGTGAGCGGGAAATGGCCAGTATATGCCAGGCTCTGGGTAGGGTCCTTTACATATAATTACCTTATACACCTGTGGTTAATGCCAACATGTGGCAGAGCTGGTCTTGATAATTCTGGAGCTCTGCTCAAAGACCACTAGAACTGAGGGTCAACTTGGATCACCGCTCAAGCAAGTCTGTTTTTGCTTCTGCCAATAATTTCTCTCTATAGATCACTGAAAAAAGGGATTTGACCTTGGCTTTATTTTTGCTAAAGCCATTCTACAATTAGGACAACCATGACAATATCTAGCATTTGTTTTGTGCATTCTCTATCTCCAGCACTGTGCTAGCTGTTTTTCTATTGTTCTGTGGAAACTGTTCAAACAGTCCTAGACACATAGCCCAATTTCTAGTTGAGGTCACACAATTTGGAAAATCACTAATTTTGTTATATCCCTAAGCAAACCAATTTGGTAAACAAAAAGATCTGCATGTGGTTCCTCCAATCAAACATAGCAAAACCGGTTCTTCAATCAGTCTCCTATTGAAAAAAGCAATTAAATTTTTTTAAAAAGCAATTAAACTTAAGTTTGAAAAGAAAATTCATATGTATTTTCTTATATCAAATATTTTATAAACTAAGGCAGAGTTTGCTGAGTATAATGGTGACTATGGCCCAAAGTCATGGGTTTTTGGTTCTTTTTTTAATTTTCATTTTTTGAGACAGTCTCACTTTGTTTCCCTGGCTGAAGTACAGAGGTGCGATCTTGGCTCGCTGCAACCTCTGGGCTCAAGCAATACTCCCACTTCTTGGGAAGCTGAGATGACAGGCATGCGCCATCATGCTGGCTAATTTTTTATATTTTTATAGAGGCAGGGTCTCTCTATGTTCCCTGAGCTAGTCTCGAACTTCTGGCCTCAAGTGATCCTCCCACCTCTGTCTCCCAAAGTACTGGGATTATAGGCGTGAGCCACTGCGCCTGGCCTGTGATTTTTATTCTTGACTTCGCCAGATTCCTTTGTCATCACTTGAATAAGCCAGTTAAGCTATTGTGCTTATTATGCAAAAATTCTTTTTGCATTTCTAATCAAATGAATGCCATCACAATAAGATGTTTCCCCGGGAGTGCTCAGTAGAAGGATAAAACCCCCATGAAAAAATGTTAATTGTAATTTTTTTTTTCTATATTTGGCTGGTTTATGCTGCTGTCACTGAGCTAGGTTTTCATCTAGACATGCTAATTTAGTATAGGTCTGATTGAAGCCTTCTTGTTTTTAATTACTAAAATAATGTGTCCAACTCCTTTTTCTTATTAGGAAAGTTTATTAACAGTGATACAATGGAAAATTTAAAACTGACAGGAGCATGTGTTTTAAAACACAAGAAATGGGATGAATCTCAGATTGCCTGGAAATAGTCCTTTAAATGAAAAACTTTTGAAATTTAAGAGATAACAGAAAAGTTAAAAGGACACACCAGATGGCATTTTCACTCACTAAGATTAGAAATCATCATTCAACACATAAAGAGCTTATTAAAGGTATGTTTCACATTTATTTATATCAGAGAGGTAAAGCAGTCATTTTACCTTGCACATAAGGACAACTTATAAATCATCTGTATAACTTGAGAAGGCATTTACTGTGTCTACAAAAATTCATAAATTAAAATGTCACATTAATTCATTCATTTATGGCAAACTCTCTTTTCACTAATATATTTTACCTTAAAAAATATTTACTTTTTGGTTTGGACTAAAATTACATTCAATTCAATGATAGTACTTAACATTTTCCCACTGCAATTATGTGAGATTTTCTGCTTTAAAGAAATTTTTTCAGTTACCTCCTTCAAACTATTGTGTGACTATGCTTCTCTTTGCAATCTATACAATTAGGAACCACTTTATATATTAAATAGGCTAAAAATTTGAAAAAATTTAATTTTCATTTAAAGTGGAAAGATTCAGTGAAAAACTCATAAAAATTATTTAAGGCATAACTATATGTCATTACTAATGAATTAACATGAAATATTATCTCCCTAAATATTTTCTAATTCAATGCCAAACATACCATATGCAATATCACCATCTCTAGAAAGTGCTAATCCAGCTATATAAATAGAATATTTGTCTTAACACTTTCCTAATACAACCCGATACTTTTGATGCATCTGTTTTTCCTCTAGGCATAGACTACTGAAGCTAGAAGGGGCTCCAGAAGGATCTAATCTGACTCACCCCCTCCTCATTAAAGTGTGGTTTTAAAAACCTGATACCAAGTCTCTCACATATAGGAGGCTACTCAGAAAGGAACTAAAGTTCGCAAACTTTACCTTTGTAAAATTCCCAGAGAATCTCCGACGGCGTTCTTCACTCCTTCCTTCCCGGGTTTCAGAATTTTTTCTTTGAAGGTATCAAATGCTTTAAAAGGCATTTTGAATGAGGGGCACCTCTGAGCCGTTAACAGTCAGTCTCAAAAACTGTCATCCTTTCTCATTTCCAGTGTGGGGAGCACCTTGTTTCCCTTGGCGAACACCTGGAAGTCAGTTCTCATGGAGGGAACCACTCAAAATCAAAAAGGAGATGAAACCCAGCCCAGATCTTCCAAGATGAGACAACTCCCTCCTCTCTCTGCCCCACCCCTCCAAAAAGGCAGCCAAGGGGTGTCTGGCTGGGAATTCAGTCCCTTGCAAAAGCTACACTCTCTGCAGCAGCCACTCTCAGACTGAGCGCAGCCTCCCTCCCTAGGCTGCAGCTGGGGACGCTGGCGTGAGCTCCGGACCACCAGAAGTCCTGAGACCAGCAGCAGCATCCGTGGCCTAGCGCCAGTCCCTCCAGCCAGCCGCGTCCCCCTCCTGCCCCACCCCAGCTCGCCTGCGGCTCTCACCAATTGAGCCTTTCCAAGGTGATGCTATAGTAACCGGCACAATACCTGCCCCTCAGCCGCCTGGGCTTATGAATGGGCTCTCAGCCAGCGCAGGCACCCAGAGAGAAGTTTATGAAACATTTACAGTCCTCTGCTTTTCTGAGGTCTGGCCCTGCAGACAGGCTCGCAGCCACCACTCCATGCTTTGTATTCCCCTCGTGAGAGCCGTGAAGCCATTTTTCAGCCAGCCAGTAGCATGGATGTGGTCCTGGAAGGAACCTGCATTTGAGTTGCCCAAATGAAAAACCCAGGCCATAAACATCCAAGAGGACATTTTTTTTGCTCCTAATCAACAGAACAGGCTCTCTCAAAGTATGATAGGTAGATGCCATTTGGGACCATTTAATTGAAGATCTCTGAGCTGGAAGATACTTAGAAACTGCACTTCTCATTGCCCTCAGGAGAAATAAAATCCTTTTTGTTTTTTCCCCTTTTCTCCCTCTAGATGGACTACTTTTTTTTTTTTTTTTTTTTTTTACTTTAAGTTCCAGGATACATGTGCAGAACGTGCAGGCTGTCACATAGGCATACATGTGCCATGGTAGTTTGCTGCACCTATCAACCCGTCATCTAGGTTTTAAGCCCCACATGCATTAGGTATTTGTCCTAATGCTCTCCCTCCACATACCAACAGGCCCCAGTGTGTGATGTTCCCTGCCTGCGTCCATGTGTTCTAATAATTCTGCTATAAAACACATGCACACATATTTATTGTAGTACTATTTACAATAAAATTCTTTATCATGGCACCCAAGGCCTTTCCCTGGGACCCCAAGTCTTTCTTCTTGTCACTCTGCTTTCCACATCCTCGTATCACTGAACTCAGCAAGCTCCCTATTGCCTCTAGGCTTTTCTCAAGATATACCCTCTGCCTGGGTAACTTCTAAGGGGTCTCAAATCAAACTAAGACATCATATCCTCTAGAAAACTGCATGGGCAAGGTGAGGTGTGCCTCCTCTGTGCCTCCAAATCACCTGTCCTCTGCCCCAGCAGGACCTGGCAAGGAGTGGGCATAACCTAAACACTTGTTGAACTGGGGCTGAAACATTGCACATTGTGGCCACATTTATGGGCAGCAGGATGACACCTCTGCAAATGCTGCTGGGGTGGAAAAATACTCTTCATCTTTGAGGCTCCTGTGTTCCAATCCCCAGTCTGCATGCAACTGACAAATCATAGGCTGTAGGCTCTCAGGGTCCCCGGGAGTCAATTCCACAAGACCAGTCAATATCCTCTGCAAGCCACTGTCCAAATTCTCTAAGATTTGAATTAAGTTCAACTAAGTCTGTGCTGGATCCTTGGTAGGCTAACTATTGCTAATATCTATTGAGCTCTTTCTAGGATCTCAGCTCTGTGTTAAGTAAGTACTCTTTAAGTATCACCACAACCTTCCCAGCATGGCTTTGTAGTAAATAACTTCTTATTTTCCCCAATTTTACTGGCAGGAAACTGAGGCAAAGAGAGGTTGAACTTGCCTGAGATCATACAGCAGCAGACCCAGGTTCCAAATCCAAATAGCCTGGCTGCAACCATTTCTCATTCTCTCTCTCTCTCTCTCTGTCTGTCTCTCTCTCTTTCTCTCTCTCCCCCCCCACCTTCCTTTCTACCTCTCTCTCCCCACACATTTACTGAGATGTATTTTGCATTTCAAATAATTCGCTCACTTCAAGTAGACAATTCAGATTCTTATAAATTTATCAAGCTGTATAACCGGAAGTTTTAGAATATTTCCACCCCAATTAGACCCTTCATTTTCACTGTTAATCCTCATCTCTCATACCATATCCTGCAACCACTAATCTACTTTCTACCTCTAAAGATTTGTCTTTTCTGGACATTTCACATAAATGGAATCATACAATCTATGGTTGCTTATGTCTGGCTTCTTCCACTCACTATAATGATTCTGAGGTCTATCCAGTCACAGCATGTATCAGTAGTTTGTTCCTTTCTTCTTTTTTTTGAGTAATGCTTCATTGTAAGCATATACCACATTTTTGTATCTCCATTGACCTGTTGATGGATATTTAGGATAGTTTCTAAAAGGACAGTTGCTTCTAAAAGGACAGTTTCTGGTCACCAACCTTCCCATCATAACCCCTCAAGACTGAGAACATGAAGGTCCCAAGAATCCACAGTCTAATCACTCCACCAAGTATTTACCTGTCTTTCCAATTTCTGAATATTATAAATAGGACTTATGAATATTTGCATACAAGTCTGTGTGAACATCTGTTTTCATTTCTCTTGGATAAATATCTAGGAGTAGAATTGCTGGATCATAAAGTAAGTGTATGTTTAGCTTTTTAGGAAATGAACAAATTATTTTCCAAGTGGCTACAATAATTTACATTCCCTGCAGCATGCAGGAGGGTCTCATTTCTACACATCCTTGCTGTATTTGTTTCCTTTTTTGGTGTAACCAATCTAATGAGTGTAACATGGTATCTCATTGTGGTCTTAATTTGTGTTTCCATGGTGACTAGTGACCATCTTTCCATGTGCTTTTTAGCTATTCATATTTCTTTTTGGTACAATTTTCACTTTTTTTTTTTTTTTTTTTTTTTTTTTT